AAGCCGCCAGCTGCCCGAGGACGCTGAATTGGCTTCTGTTTTCATGTTAATCAGGATCTCCCTGCTCCAGCCAAGGACAGGACTGAGACCTGGAGGCCTGCCCGCAATCCTGGTAGCACACAGTCCCCCACCCACTTCCTTGGACAGGGCCTCTTGCATCTCAGCCCCTGCACCCTGCGAGGCAGTGACTCAGGGACCTCTTTGTAAAATGCAACCTTGCCCCCATGGAGCATGTTCAGAGCCTGAAATGGGGGCCACTTTCCATATCAACCTGCGATTATCAGGAATTACAGGATGCCTTGTTATATATTTGTCCCAATTTTGCTCCACAGCAGGATTTGTCCTACGCGAAAGTCACATTTCTGCAGTTTAGGCTGGAGCTAAAGAGCGATTTCGAGGCTTGTGCTCTGTACGCAGTGGCTTCTCTCCTGAGCCCTTTGTTTTTGTTTTCCTTGGCAGGGTGTGGTCCCCGAGAGCAGCCAGCAAACCTAAGCAGGAAAGCTGGCCAAGAATCTTATGGGGGGCCGGGTGCAGTGGTTCACGCCTGTAATCCCAGCACTTTGGGAGGCCAAGGCAGGCAGATCACCTGAGATCAGCAGTTTGAGACTAGCCTGGCTAACATGGAGAAAACAGGTCTCTACTAAAAATACAAAAATTAGCCGGGCGTGGTGGCAGGCGCCTGTAGTCCCAGCTACTTGGGAGGTTGAGGCAGGAGGATCGCTTGAATCCAGAAGACGAAGGTTGCAGTGAGCCAAGATTGCACCACTGCACTCCAGCCTGGGCAACAGAGTGAGTCTCTGTCTCAAAAAATAAAAAAGAATCTTATGGAGAAGGCTGCCTTTTTTCGCCTCCAACACTCACACCCCTGGTGTGGGCAGCTCGGATGGGAAGAAGCCACCACCTAGAGCCCCCTCCCACCTTCCTTCACCCCACCTGCTGCTGCAGAAGAAGGACCACAACCTTCAGGACAGCCTGTTTATTGGAAGGATAAGGGTAGGGTGGGGTTCGGGGCTTCAACTCATCTGGGGAAAAGGCTGGGGTTCATGAGTGGAGAGGAAGGTCTTGGCAGGGTTTCTGTGAGGAGGGCAAATTCAAGCCATTAATGAAAATCAAGTACTTATCACAGTGTCTGGCCCTTGGTCATGTTAATAAAGATAGGTTGAAAGGACAGAAGGGTGGGTGAGAGGGAAGCCAAGACTGAACACCAGGAGCACCTGTGAGAAGCTTCTCTGGTCAGGGTCAGGAAAAGTCTTTGTTGACCAGTGGCCTCACAGTTTTGGCCTGATTCTGTGCCCCCCATCCCCAGCAGGGGAGGTCTGCTGGAGAGAAATGATATCTTATAGTGGAAAAACACGCTCCTCTATCCAACTTACCCCCATTTTCTAGGAAAACAGAAAACAATCTAGGGAGAAGTGTCTGGCCCAAGAAGGATGGAGTGATTGCTGAGCTGAGGACAACTTTCTGCTTTCCCTTCAGGCCGTCAGCTCTTCCACTGTCCTCCATCCTCCAGAAGTGCTCAAGTGGGGACCAGAAGTCTCTCGTCTGACTCACTAAAGCTGCCACAAAACTAGGAAGGCAGGTCTGGCGTTTTGCCCCTGAGCTGATGTTTGCCTGGACTCTGGGTCCAGTGACCTCAGGAGGACTGTGTTTTCTGGAAGCGCTGTGACCTCTGTGGACCTATGTCTGCCACAGGCCTGTGTCACTTGAGCCTTTGCTACAGTTCCCGTGAGTGCCTTGGGCTTGCATCTGCCGTGGGCCTCCAGCTACCATGGGCTCTGGACCTGCCGTGGCGATGTACAGAGACCTACAGGGAGGCAGGTAGAAGAAATGACTAGGAGGATGGTATTGCTTTCCTACAGGCAGAAGTGAGTTTTAAAAACTTTGGGAAGAGTATGGAAGCTGTACCATTACAAAATGTTTCAGCAAGAAAAGAGGACACATATTTCAACAGTTTTTTTTTTTTGAGATGGAGTCTCACTGTGTTGCCCAGGCTAGATGCAGTAGCTATTGTCAGGCACAATCATGGCTCACTGCAGCCTTAAACCCCTGGCTCAAGTGATCCTTCTGCCTCAGCCTCCCGAGTAGCTTGTGGGACTCATTTTATCTCTTGGGAAATTGGTTATTTGAGGACCTTTTAAAGGAAAGAGATTAACTGGTTATTATGGACTGAGTTATGTCTTCCAAAAACTCATCTGCTAAAGCCCTAACCCCTAGTACATTGGAATATGACTATATTTGGAGATAGTGCCTTTAAAGAGGTGATCAAGGGAAAATGATGCCATGGGGCTGATGTGGGTAGTCCACAATGGTTAGTGTCTTCATAAGAAGAGATTAGGGTGGGCACAGTGATGTTTGCCTGCAGTCCCAGCCATGCAGGAGGCTGAGGCAGAAAGATTGCTGGAACCCAGGAGTTCAAGTCCAGCCTGGGTGTGTTAGTCTGTTTTCATGCTGCTGATAAAGACATACCTGAAACTGGCAACAAAAAGGTTTAATTGGACTTACAGTTCCACATGGCTGGGGAGACCTCGGAATCATGGTGGGAGGCAAAAGGCACTTCTTATATGGTGGCAGCAAGACAAAAATGAGGAAGAAGCAAAAGCAGAAACCCCTGGTAAACCCATCAGATCTCGTGAGACTTACTCACTATCATGAGAATAGCACGGGAAAGACCATACCCCATGATTCAACTACCGCCCCAGGGTCCGTCCCACAACACGTAGGAATTCTGAGAGATACAATTCAAGTAGCAATTTGGGTGAAGACGCAGAAAAATCATATCATTCCACCCCTGGCCCCTTCAAATCTCATGTTCTCACATTTTGAAACCAATCATGCCTTCCCAACAGTCCCCCAGTCTTAAGTCATTTCAGCATGAACCCAAAACTCCACAGTCCAAAAGCACATCTGAGACAAGGCAAGTTCCTTCCGCCTATAAGCCTGTAAAATCAGAAGCAAGCTAATTACTTCTTAGATACAAGGCGGGTACAGGTATTGGGTAAATACAGCTGTTCCAAATGGGAGAAATTGGCCAAAACAAAGGGGTTACAGGGCCCATGCAAGTCCAAAATCCAGCAGGGCAGTCAAATCTTAAAGCTCCAAAATGATCTTCTTTGGCTCCAGGTCTCATATCCAGGTCACACTGATGCAAGAAGTGGGTTTTTGTGGTCTTGGAAAGCTCCGCCCTTGTGGCTTTGCAGGGTACAGCCTCCCTCCTGGCTGCTTTCATGGGTTGGTATTGAGTGTCCATGGCTTTCCCAGGCACATGGTGCAAGCCATCAGCGGATCTACCATTCCGGGGCCTGGAGGATGTAGCCCTCTTCTCACAGCTCCACTCGGCAGTGCCCCAGTAGGGACTCTGTGTGGGAGCTCCAAACCCACACTCCCCTTCTGCACTGCCCTAGCAGAGGTTCTCCATGAGGGCCCCACCCCTGCAGCCAACTTTTGCTTTGGCATCCAGGCATTTCCATACATCTTCTGAAATCTAGGCAGAGGTTTCCAAACCTCAGTTCTTGACTTCTGTGTACCCACAGGCTCAGCACCACATGGAAGCTGCCAAGGCTTGAGGCTTTCACCCTCTGAAGCCACAGACCAAGCTCTAGGTTGGCTCCTTTCAGCCACTGCTGGAGTGGCTGGGACACAGGGCAGTAAGTCCCTAGGCTGCACGGGGACCCCAGGCCCGGCCCACAGAACCACTTTTTCCTCCTGGGCCTCTATGCCTATGATGGGAGGGGCTGTTGTGAAGGTCTCTGGCGTGGCCTGGAGACATTTTCCCCATGGTCTTGGGGATTAATATTAGGCTCCTTGCTACTTATGCAAATTTCTGCAGCCGGCTTGAATTTTTCCTCAGAAAAAAAAAAAAAAAAAAAAAGAGAGAAACAACAAAATAAAAAAGAGACAGCCAGTCAATCAAGCATTAGCTTAGCCAAAGAAAGAAAAAGTTTTAGCCACAATAATGTATGTGGGGAAATACAGATACCTAACAGAAACTTGTGTTCATAATAGATCCCTAGTAATATTGATTAAAATTTACAATAAGCTTTTTGTAAAAACTTGTATAATAAAAGGGCTAATTTTATTACTCTAAAATTCATCTATCACTACCTGAAAGCTGGAACATTGTTACCATCAACAGAGAAAAATAGAACAAGAAATAATCCATCAACTTTCCACCTGGAGAAAGAATTAGCAAGCAGAATTCTAAACAGTAAAGTGTGGCTTGAAAATATATATTTAATATAACGTGAGTTGCGGCTTTAAAAAATTTAAGAAGTTTTAAGCTAAAATCTTAACCTAAGCTTCCACTTGAAGGATATTAGAAGATATACTAAATCCATCTTTTCTACTTATGACATATTTCTAATTTATTTCCTTCCTATTTTGACACATTTTCTTAACATAACTCATCTGAATTTACATATCCTAAACATTAAAAGGGGCCAGGCATGGTGGCTCACACCTGTAATCCCAGTACTTTGGAAGGCCAAGGAGGGTGGATCACTTGTGGTCAGGAGTTCAACACCAGCCTGGCCAACATGGTGAAAGCCCCTCTGCATTTAAATCTCTCTCTCTCTCACACACACAGACAAACACACACACAGACACACACACACACACATACATGCAATTATCCAGGCATGGTGACAGGCACCTGTAATCCCAGCTACTAGGGAGCCTGAGACACAACAATCGCTTGAACTCAGGAGGCGGAGGTTGCAGTGAGCTGAGATCGTGCCAACCTGGGTGACAGAGCAAGACTGTCTCAAAAAAATAAATAAAATAAAATAAAATAAAATAAATATATAAATTTAAGCCATATTTTAGAAATGAGATTTAATTATTAGAATATATCAAGTGTATTATGTTACTTATAACATTCCATTTTATAGAAACTCATTTGTGTGTTCATTTATTTATAATGAAAACTATTAAAATACTTTTTACATGCAAATCATAATTTTAGGTACTCCAAAAACAAATATGTTTCCTAATCTCCAGTAACTCATAGTAATATAGTAGCTTAAAATTTTTTATTTAAATAACTGGATAGAAAAGCCTCAGATTTGAAATTTTAGAATGAGATACAAGAACTCTGAGTAGGTATTTCTGAAAATTGCACTTCCAAAAGCCTTCTGAAATTAAAGTCTTACTGTATCAATACTAAAATTCTCTGCTTACTTCTGTATGTTATTATTTTGAACAAAACATGTATTCTTCAATTAGATTAAGACTTTAAAATATGCCCTTAGTGACTTAGAAAATACAGTGGAATCTCTTTGCCATACAGATTTTGAGGAAGAATTTTAATTTCTAGTCTTCCATAATTTTTTAAAAAGTTAGAGATGGAGTCTTATTATGTTGCCCAGGTCTCAAACTCTGGGGTTCAAGTAATTCTCCTGCCTCAGCCTCTTGAACATCTGGTATTGCAGGCACATGACATCATGCATAATTAAATTCCCGCTATTGCCAATATTGTTTTAGTCTAATTACAGAACCAAGGATAAAAATTTTTTAAAACTCTCTGCCAAAAACTGTATAATACCAAAATAATAAATGGTCAAGAAGAAAAAAGCAACTATATGCTATGGTTAACAGGGAGGCTCCATGATTACTACAAGTAACTAGACCCATTAAAGGTTCATTTAACAGATAAGTATTATAAAAGTCAGTTAGTATGGTTTAAAATTCACAGTAAAGAAATTTATTCCAATGAGCTTTGACCAAATTTCACATTTCCTCTTTCGTGGGGAAGCTTCTTGTAGTATAATTTTCCTGCCATTATGTATTTTCCAGCCCATTCTCTTTTTCAGTTCTCATTCCCTCAAAGTATTTATCAGTTATCTGCTATTTACCAAAGTTAAAAAAATAAATTTACCTAGTTATATATCTATAAAATGGTTTTCTTAACTAAATTTCTATTCCTGTGGATAAACAAAGGTAGACCATTGCTAAATTTTAAGAGTAAATACTATATAAAAGTAGATTCAGAGTGAGAATATTAATTTCACGAGACCACTTTACCTTGAATTTAAAATTGAAGTCACCATCCTGTGAAGTATGCCCTAAAAAGGTATCCAGTCTGCAGGAAAGCCTTAAGAGCAAAAATATACAAAACAAAACAAAACAAAAATAAGGTTCATTTCTTACAAAAACAAACAAAACAAAACAAAACAAAAAAACTCCCAGTCTGTATCTGTATGTCCCTCCAATAAACAAAAAAAGAAAAACAAAATCTAGGAAAAGATCAGCTATCAGTATATGAAATAATATATATCCTGATGTAATTAAAATATGACCTTAGTTTCAAAAAATATTTGTTACCTATTTCTTCCTTCAGCTCTCCAAACCTATGTGATATCCAATGCCTACTCAGTATTACTTCCATACCAAATAGTGTCAGTCAATATACTGGCAGAGACCCACAGCAGTTTGTCCTGAGGCTGAACTGAAAGTTCAATTAACCCATTTAGCCTGAGGTTGCAATTTTTTGAATCTGAAAAGTCAGACCTTGGTGATGACCTTGAGTGGTAGGATATAAATAACTCCCACATGCTTAGCATTCCAATAACGGAATACTAGGCATAAACGGGTTTAGCGAACATAACTGAGTCCTGGTAGTTGTATCTCTATTTCTCTAAGTACTATCTGAATATCTTTCTTCCTGTGGGCTCCCACTTCCAGATCCTTCTGCGGGGCTCCATGGCAGTCTCCAGATTTTAAATGTTCAGCGTAGGAAAGCATAGATTCCTAAAAGGATGAGGTCAAATAATCAAGGGTAGGAGCTCTGTTTCCCTGTTCCTGGAAAGTAAGCTAAATGGAATTTCAATCATCCACCTCTAGGACAGGCACATGACCAACTACCCAAATGAAGCTCTTGACTAATTTGCCAGCTAATCCTATGCTTGCCTTAAACCTACATAGATATTAGAAGAACATCAGTTAATTGGGAAAAGAGGCAGAGAAAAGGAGAGACCTGGCCTGGGTCACAGATCTATGCAGTTCAGCAACCTCCAATACCCTAGCACTTGACAAGCTCTAAGCTACACCTCTGTAAGCTGGAGTGGAAGATGATACACATTTCTATCTGCTCTACGACTCTTCCCAGTGGCTCAAATTCTCTTAAAATCTTTCAAAAAAACAAAAACAAAAACAAAAAACCCTTGATGTCTGCCAGTTTTTCTAAGCAGAGAAACAATAACAGCAGCAACCTGTTTAGGACTTTCTTAAGCCCCCTACTTTGTCTTTCTTGCGAACTCCCAACATCCTGTGCTTTTCTAATTTATCCTTATCACAAAGCCCAATATTCTGATCTCTTTTCTTAAACTCCTACTCTTATCTAATTCAGTGTCTTTGGCCTCCCCCTGCTAGTTCCATTCTTATCCACTTCCATTAAGGTTCGTTCGCCAGCTCATTCCATTCTCATCATCTTCCATTGGGATCACTAGACCCACTCTCCCTTTTCTATTATTAAAATACTGACAGGATGGTATACAAGAGGACTAGGCTTTGAACTAAGGAATTTGAGTTCAAATCTCATTTAGGCTACAAAGTGTTCCCAAAGAAATTATTTACTATCTTTGAGTTTCAGGGTCTTCACCTGAACAACCACTTGTCTGGGACGTTAAACACAGAATGAAGTACTAGATATTTTATTTAGTCTCTAATATCCCTTAAAATCCTGAAATTCGATGTGCTTTTGATTCTGTATATTGAAAAATTGAGAATATTTAGCTGGCATGAGCATAGTAATAGAAAAAAAAACACACCAAGAAAAGCAGAGAAGAAACAAACAAACAAAAAAAAAAAATCAAGAAAAGAATACAGAAAACTCACAGGGAAAAAAACGACTTTGGGGAAAAAGAAAAAGCTTCATGGAACTAAACAAGGTACTTGCCTAAAGGAAAAACCAAACAGGGAAGTCAGAAAGTAGAGAAATCAATTAACATTTCCTTTGAATGTGAGCAAAATATAATTAACACAACATGGTCTATATGCAGACCACTTACAGCAAAATATTTCTCTCCAGGACTTGGCTGATGTTGCTTATGGAAAACAACCTAGGGTCCTGTAGCCCAGCTAAGTGAGATCTACCTTAAAAACCTTGATGGTAAAAATAAGTTGCTGGTTACCACTGCAATTATCAGGTATGTTAGGACAAATTTCTGAACTAACCAAGTTTCTAAGGAGAGTGTTGACAAATGTAACTTTCTGAACAGATCTGATTTTGACCTGTACCTTGATCCCATTGCTGCACAGGTCTTAAGAGAAGTGATCTGGGGACCAGGCAGGCTCATGGTCAAATCATGGGTTGGCTACTTGTTAATTACAAGATCATGGGCTAATTATGCAATCTCTCTAAATCGTGGATACCTAATTATTTAAAAAGCAGGTGATAACAGCACAGCTACTTGCAAAGCTATATGAGAACTACAGGAGATGATAAATGTGAAGCACATAAGCCCAGTATAAAACACCCAACAGTTATTAGTTTCTTTTCTCTGCAGTCCTTTAGATTACATATCATTTTTCAAAATCTGTAAAATCCTACCTGTTCATGCAGTCTTCAATGGTAGCAGCATGCACTATTAAAGAAAAATATATATATTTTAAATCAACAATAGAAAAACATAAATTATTAGAATCATAAGCGAGTATCGTAGCACATGACTTTAATTCCAGATACTACTCAGGAGGCTGAGATGGGAAGATCACTTGGGCCCAGGAGTTCAAGGCCAGCCTGGGTAACACAGCAAAAGTCTACCTTCATTTAAAAACTCCTGAAAGATGACTGATAGACACAACTCCAGCGTACAACACCCAGCAAGAGAGATGCAAAAATCCAGAGATTTCCTAGCTCCAGCCAAGGTACCAGGTACATTTTAATGGGTCTGGTCCGATGGTGAACAAAGCCCACTCAGGGCAGACCAAAACGGGGAGGGGTGCTGCTTCACCCAAAAAGTGCATCTGACCAGCAAGTGGGAGGCTCTCCCTCTGGCACTCTGGTCCAGATACAGCGCTTCCTCTAAAGCCTCAGCAATACACAGAACAGGGGATGTTTGCCAGTCAAGCACCTGGAATTACAAGCATGGAGTTGAGTAAGAGCCTGAAGACTGAGCTATCATCCCCTCTCACTGCCCAGAGAGAGAGGGAACTGTAAGCAGGAGCAGCTGGGCAGGCACCTACCCCATGACTGGAGAGAGAGGAAGCTAAAAGGGGGAGATGGCTGGATGTGGCTGGGCGGGTCCCTCCCCTCCCCCATAAACCCGAGGGCTGAAGCTCTGACTCTAGTGGGTTGCACAGTCACTGCCACAGTCTGAGATGAACCCTGAATGATCTAGCCCAGTGGAGGAAGGGCACAACCCACCACTAGAGCGGTGGGACTGGGCTACATGTTTTAACAAAAAACACAGGACACCTACGTAGCAACAGGACAGCATTCTTGACAACGCAGCACCTACAGGTCAGTGGAATAGGCAGACCTAGTCTCCCACTATCAACAAAAAAGACATAGGAAGCTTTCCTAGTAACCTGAAGGAGTCCCTAGACTCCAGCAGCGCCTCCACAGGCAGATAAGCGAACTCATCAAGCAGCTCCCTGACACCACAGCCAGGTACATCCACAAAGATGGAAAAAAACCAGCGCAAAAAAGATGAAACCATCAAAGACCAGAACACCTCTTCTCCTTCAAGGGATCACAACTCCTCAACAAAACAGGATCACAACTTGACCGAGGAGTGTGATGAATTGACAGAAACAGGCTTCAGAAGGTGGATAAAAAATTTTTTTTCTGAGCTAAAGGAACACGTTCTAACTCAATGCAAAGAAACCAAACACCTTGAAAAAAGGTTAGAAGAAATGCTAACTAGAACAACCAACTTAGAGAAGAACATAAACAACTTCATGGAGTTGAAAAACACAGCACAAGAACTAAGCGAAGCAAACACAAGTTTTAATAGCTGAATCGATCAGACATTGAAGATCAACTCGATGAAATAAAAAGAGAAGGCAAGAGGAGAAAAAAGAGTGAAAATAAATGAACTAAGCCTCCAAGAAATATGGGATCATGTGAAAAGACCTAATCTACGCTTGATCGGTGTACCTGAATATGATGGGGAGAATGAATTCAAGCTGGAAAACATGCTCCAGGTTATTATCCAGAAGAACTTCCCAAGCCTAGCAAGACAGTCCAAATTTCAAATTCAAGAAACACAGAGAACTCCACAAAATATTCCTGAAGCAGAGTAAACCCAAGGAACATAATCATCAGATTCACCAGGGTTAAAATGAAGGAAAAAATGCTAAGGGCAGCCAGAGAGAAAGGTCAGGTCACCCACAGAGGGAAGCCCATCAGACTCACAGCAGATCTCGCAGCAGAAACCCTACAAGCCAGAAGAGAGTGGGGGCCAATATTCAACATCCTTAAAGAATTTTCAACCCAGAATCTCATATCCAGCCAAACTAAGCTTCATAAGTGAGGGAGAAATAAAATCCTTTACGGACAAGCAATTATTGAGAGATTTTGTTGCCACCAGATCTGCCCTACAAGAGCTCCTGAAAGAAACACTAAGCACAGAAAGGAACAAATACCAGACACCGCAAAAGCAAAACAGCTGGCAAAACCCAAAAATGCAATGAAGAAAATGAGGCAACAAACGGGAAAGAAAACCAGCCAGTAACAAAATGCCAGGGTGAAATTCACATATAACATTAACATTGGATGTAAATGGCCTAAATGCCCTGATAAAAAGACACAGACTGGCAAACTGGATAAAAAGTCAGAACCCATTGGTGTGCTGTACTCAGGAAACCCACCTCACATAGAAAACACATATAGGCTCAAAATAAATGGATGGAACAAGATTTACCAAGCAAATGGAGAACAAAAAAAAGCAGGGGTTACAATCCTAGTCTCTGATAAAATGGACTTCAAACCAACAAAGATCAAAAGAGACAAAGAAGGACACTACATAATGGTAAAAGGGTCAATCAAACAGGAAAAGCTAACTATTCTAAATATATATGCCACCAACACAGGAGCACCCAGATACATAAAGCAAGTTCTTAACAACGTAAAACAAGATTTAGACTCCCACACAATAATAGTGGGAGACTTCAAAACTCCACTGTCAATGTTAGACAGATGAACGAGAAAGAAAATTAACAAGGATATCCAGGATTTGAATGCAGAGCTGTACCAAGCGGACCGAATTAGACATATACAGAATGCTCCACCCCAAATCCACAGAATATACATTTTTCTCAGCACCACATTACACTTACTCTAAAATTGACCACATCATTGGAAGGAAATCACTCCTCAGCAAATGCAAAAGAACAGAAATCATAACAGTCTATCAGACCACAGCAAATCAGACTAGAACTCAGGATCAAGAAACACACTCAAACCAACACAACCACTTGGAAACTAAACAACTTGCTCCTGAGTGTCAACTGGATGAACAATGAAATGAAGGCAGAAATAAAGATGTTCTTTGAAACCAACCAGAATGAAGATACAACTTACCAGAATCTCTGGGACACCTTTAAAGCAGTGTTGAAAGGGAAATTTATAGCAATAAATCCCACCAGAGAAGAAAGGAAAGATCTACAATCGACACCCTATCATCAAAATTGAAAGGGCTAGAGGAGCAAGATCAAAAAAAATCAAAAGATGGCAGAAGACAAGAAATAAATAAGATCAGAGAAGAACTGAAGGAAATAGAGATACAAAAAAAAATTCAAAAAATCAATAAATACAGGAGCTGGTTTTTTGAAAACATCAACAAAATAGACCACTAGCCAGATTAATAAAAAAGGGAGAAGAATCAAATAGATGCAATAAAAAATGATAAAGGGATTATTACCACTGATGCCACAGAAATACAAACTACCATCAGAGATTACTACAAACAGCTCTACTCACATAAACCAGTAAACCAGGAAGAAATGGATAAATCCCTAGACACTTGTACTCTACCAAGACTAAACCAGGAGGAAGTTGAAACCTTGAATAGACCAATAACAAGGGCTGAAGTAGAGATGGAAATCAATAGCCTACCAGCCAAAAAAAGTCCAGGTCCAGACGGATTCACAGTCGAATTCTACCAGACGTACAAAGAGGAGCTGGATCCATTCCTTCTGAAACGGTATCAAACAATACAAAAGGAGGGAATCCTCCCTAACTCATTTTATGAGACCAACATCATCTTGATACCAAAACCAGATAGAGATTCAACTAAAAAAAAAAAAACTTCAAGCCAATATCTATGATGAACATAGATGCAAAAATCTTCAATAAAATACTGGCAAACAGATTGCAACAGCACATCAAGAAGCTTATCCATCAGGACCATGTAGGCTTCATCCCAGGGATGCAAGGTTGGTTCAACATATGCAAATCCATAAATGTCATACATCACATAAATGGAACCAAAGACAAAGACCACATGATTATCTCAATAGATGCATAGGGATCGGGAGAAGATGGCCAACTAGGAACAGCTCAGGATTGCAGCTCCCAGTGAAAGTGCAGAGGATGAGTAGATGCCGCATTTCCAGATGGATTTTTATTGCCCACAGACCAGGAGATTCCCAGGCAGAGGAGCCCCACGGGTTGCCAGCATGGCTGTTTCGCCTGGCGCGGCTGTTTTGGCCTGCATGGCTGCTTTCCCCACGCCCTGGTGCGGTGGATCTCCGTACAAAGGACATTGGTCCGGGTGCCCTCTTAGCTGGTGATTGGAGCCCTGAAACGGCAGAGTGGCCCATTCATCTGAAATAGCGAGCCAGGCCAGGAGATTACTAGGTAAAAAAACCACCAGGAATCTCAGCAACGCTGTTTCAGCCGGCTCAGTGAGTTGCGACACGGGAGATCCTGGCGCCTTTTCAACAGGTGACTGGAACACTGGGAGAGAGTTGACCGTTCAACAACAACAAAAAAAAAAGACTCTGAGTCAGGGAGCCAGGTGATCAGGCTCGGCTGGTCCAACCCCGCCACCCAGTAATTGAAAACGTTCTGGGTTGAGAGTTTCACAGCAAGCAGAGCTGAACCTGGGACAGTCAGGCTCTGTGGGGGAGGGGCGTCCGCCATTACTGAGATACTCCACCCCTATGGAGGCAGTCTGACCATCGCTGAGGCAGCCGCTGTTGATGAGGCAGCCCGCCATTGCCGAGGCAACCGGCCACTACAGAGAGAGTCCACCATAACACAGGTGGGCCACCATTGCCAAGGCAGTTGTAACTACACCCATGTAAACAGGACTGCAGGGAAGATCACATGGCAGCTAGGCAGAGCTCACAGTAGCTCAGCAAAGCCTCTGCAGGCACAGTGACTAGGCTGCCTCCTTGATAGGCAGGGCAGCCCTGAAAAAAAAAAAAAGCAGCAGCACAACGGAAACTGATAAATAAAGCCAAAACTCCCTGGGACAGAGCACCGGGGCGGGGGTGGGGGGTGGGAAGGGAGTTTATGAATTCTGCTGCAGTAGACCTAAATGTACCTGCCCAGCAACTCTGAATGAACAACGGAGCTCACAAGTCAGGACATGAGCTCCAATAAAGGACAGACTGTCTCCTCAAGCAGCTCCCT